TAATGTTAAGAAATAATATTTTTTATTAAATATTAATCTTATAAAAGATAACTAGCTATTGCTAATAATTGCTAATAATAAAGATAATCAGCTATTGTTAATAATTTGAGACATACTATAAACCGATATTTTTATCTGAAAATTGAGAATAAGTTCCATTTAAATTAACTCCTAATTCGATTTATACAAATTTAGTTGTTATAATTTATTAGAAAAAATCAATCTTATATTATATTATTATTGTATTATCTGTTAAATATAATTTATAATTATTCTTACATCTAGCTTAATCCTTTTTAATCTAATTTCTTTATTTACAATTTTATTATAATATTACTTTATTTTAATAAAAACTTTTTATTGCAAGTATCGTGAAAATCATTTTAGCCTAATTAGTTGAAAAATGGCGTAAAAAATTACTTGCAAAAACAAAAGTTTTTACTTATCGTCAGCAAAATACAAAGTATTAAGATTTTTCCTAAGCTCCCTAAGCAATCTTTGCAGCATATATTGAAAACGATTCGCTGATCAGCGATCGGATTTTTCTGAAATTAAGAACGTTTATGAGACATCAAACAGACCGCAGAAGAGCAGGCGGGATCAGCTTCGATATAAAGAGGGTAAGGAATCGCTTTTGTATCAATTTTTTCGAACACGTGTGGAATTTGACCGCTTATTCCACGTGACTTACCACTCCCGCACGCGATGTTTTTCTATCCGCTCTTAAATCTTTCTTCCCCTTCACAAACAGGTGAATTCAGTTTCTTTCACAAGCCCCTGCACTTTTTTCAATTATAATGAGAACCTTGTCCCGTGTTGAGTAGAAAGGAGACATATGTATATAGGGGGATATATTTACATTCAAATATAAATATTTCATTTCCAGAATACTGACAATGAGTAAAAATATCGTTGTTACTCTTGTTAAGGAGAAGTTCTTCTAATTTTTTATTTGAAAGCTCTTCGTCTGCAGTTTTTTTTCGCACTTTCTTAGACTGGTCATGAATCCGATCATTAACATACGGATCAGCAATCGATCCGCTGTCAGACGAGACCTTATTAGGCCGCCTGGCTGATGATATAACTGAATCATAATTGATAATGAAGATAAACATTTACGGAACATGCGGCAGAAGTAACTTAACTCCCATGGTCCTCATTTGTAAATATCTACGATTTAAAAAATTTTTTTTCATAATATTTAGGAAACATATTAAATTAAAATTAGAAATAAACTTTTATTTACATATCCAAGTTAATGTAAAGAGTTGAAAATAATATCAATTTATATGTATTTTTATGTATTCCATTCTGCATGAAAGTGAAGCTCTATAGACACATAAAGGTAGTCACAAACATGCAGAAAAATGATTCGTAATAATCCTGAAGCCGGTAACACACAGCAATAACGTTTTCCGTGATACACCCTTCGCGGTGGATTCAGTGCATGCGGTTCTTCTTTCGCTTTCTTGAATCAGACACTTTAAATGTATTTTATTTTTTTATTGATAATAAGAAAGTTTCGCCATATTTAAGATTTTATTATTCTTATTATATTCAACATTTATAAAAAAGAAATTAGACAATTTTTAATAGAAGTAAATATGATTGTAATAAACTATAATCTTCTTGTAATATAATGGTTGGTTAAAAATAAGAATAGACTAAACGTTTTTAAAAATAAATTTTAGAAACTATTTCTTAAAGAAATTTAAGATACATATATTAAAGTTATTTTGCAAGGCTGAAAAGGTGCAATTTTGTTGTTTCCCTCTTCTTAGTAATGTTCAATTCAGTCTTGTAATTTTCGTTAGACGAATTAGTTGCTGGCTGAGAACCTCTAATCCAAAGGGCTAAGCCATGAGACCCGGACCGAGCGCGCAGGAACATTATTATATTGAATCGTGGAAACGGAAAAGTAAGTCGACGGGAAGAGCGGAAAGCGAATGGAAAGCGAGGAGTCGTAGTAGCGTTAAGCTCGATGGTGCTGCTTTATTAATTATTGCGACGACCCTTTGACTGCTATCACCCGTTGCCCGCGTCTGTCCATTCGTACATGTGTTTGCTTGCGTATGGGCCTTCATATCGATTCAACTGGTTTTATTAATAAAGAGACATTATTCGTTCAGACTTACACGATATTGAGAAATCTCACGGCTTTTTGTCTCTCAGAGATTTTGGAGGGAATTTTAAATTTTTTTTAAGATAATTTTGATACATATTTAATATGATGTATTAAATACGTTAATATGTTTAATTTTTGTTATTCCCAATGTTATTCAGATGCACTTCTAGTGGTTATCTGTTAATTTTACTCCCCCCTAAGAAAATATCTACTCCAAATCTACACGCGCCAGCACGCGAAAAATCTTTTTCAGAGTGGAGCAAGGGTCAAAATATCAGATTATCGGTCGAGTGGAATCGAATTAAAAGCTCATATAGGAACCCCTCTCAGTGTTGAATGACGTGTGCTTGTCTTCATATGACAGATTCCTTCTTTTTCTCTCTCGTCCTTCCGTGTCGCTCCAAGGATTATTCTTACGAGTGATTACAAGTCAGGGTATCATATTGGAAGGTAAAATTATTTCCACCATTAAATTTCGCACTTGATCTTTACTTTACTTAGGGATTAATGTTGAAACAAATGTCCTATTCAGAGATGAACTGTAGAAAAATATTTGTAAAAATGACAAGAGAGAAAAAAGAATTCTTTTTTATCTTAAAGCATTATGAGAAAAATTCCTCTCTTCTGATTAAATAAAACGAAAATTTTAATAAAGTAAGTAAAATACACAATACATTTTTAAAAAATTGTATTTAATATTAAAACAAAAAAATACACAATTAAACAAAACGAAATAAAAATAAATCCGAAAAATATTTTTATTTTATTTTTGCTTTTGCAAAGTCAGTACTGAATTTCTTAATTCAAAGATTTTTAAGACTGCTCTATAAAATATTTGGATTTTTTCTTTTTTTTCCCCCAGAATATATTAGAAATAAAGTGTGAAGATCAATGCTGAAATTATAATAAAATATTAATTAAATAAAGTGGCTTAATTTTCAAAATATTTTCAAATAAAGTATTAGCATTTTATCTATATATTGATCTATACTTCTATACCATAACTATATCAAATACTTGATGCTGTTTTCCTGAAATTCCTCACTTTTACTTTTATCCTACATTCTCAACATCGTTAATTAACATCACTTTTGAATTAACCCGCTTTCTGGTATCATCTAGACGACAGACGACAGACGGCCCGTACTTATTAGTTAGCATGCATTCGAAATCTTCTGGTACGCCAAGCACTTGCCATAAATATGTAGATTCGTCCTGCAGGGGCTGCAGGAGACTGCCGGAGGAAGGTGGTGAGGGGGTATTGGGGGAGGGAGAGAGATATTGTGCCGACACTCGTCATGGTGTATCAAGAGAGGGCTGCTTTTTCGAAGGGTGGCGTGGTGTACCTTTTCCTTCATCACGATGGCGTTTTATAATATTCACCCTACGTGTACACACGTTGGAATGGTGATTTTCGTCTCTGCATCCCCGTCACCAATCTCTCTCTTTCTCTCTCTATCTCTCTCTGTGGCAACGTCGAAAAATACCTTGGCAGCGATCGAGATATCAAGCGGCGAGAAAGACCACGTCTCTCTCGTCTTCTTATCGCTCGGGTATGCTGTCGGTGTCCTTTGTCGTGCCGTGTTCGATTTTCGACCCTTCGAAAATCCGGGCTCCTACGGGACGAGATATCACCGACTACACAGGAATGAGCTTGGCGCATCGATGAATTTTCAATTGCCGATGTAATCGCGAACAAAGTAACTGCGATAAAAAATACGCTAGAGAAAAATTGTATTCTTATTGCTCTGTTGTTATTGAAGAGAGAAATAATGATGCAGACAAATTAAGCTGATGCGAATTTATTGATTCAATTACAATTTATCTTTACGATAACTCTTGCGAGAGTTTTACTCAGACTTTAGTTTATTACAAAATATCAGTTTACAGAAAAAAGTATAACGATGATAGGCATATATTGAAGAAGTGTACAACTTCCAAAATTTATGTATAGTTCCCCTTAAATTCTTCCTCGTCACATTTTCTCTTTAAATCTCTTCTCTCTACTTCTCGACAAATGCCACTCGTCATAATCCGAGTACGCTCGATTTCCATTAGTATACCTAGCAATTAGCGACGGTAATTTAATTTTGCAACTGGATACGAAAGTTGTCACGATTCGAAGTAGCCAGTGCGGCGCGCGGCGCGGCACCACACATCTCGATTAAATCTCGCAAAATTTACAGCCAGCGCACTACAAGTGAAGTAATCGTCGCTTTCATCGCTACTCATTTGATCCATCGTGTATATGGTGTTTTTAAAACATCAAAAGCAGTCCTTGAAAAAAGTCGTGAAAAGTCGTTTTTTCAAAATTAGAAATTTATGGAAGAGAGTTTTCCATTTATATAAATAATTATATGTTATAACATAGTTACACAAATTAGTTTCTGTGTATATGTACATATATGTGCGTATAAATAACGCACACACACATATATATATATATATATATATATATATATATATATAAATATAAATTTAATTAATTTGGGTAGACAAATAAGTAAATAAATAATTTATGTAAATTTTTAAGTTTGTTAATTGATTAATGTTACATTATTATTCTCCCAAGAGAGTCTATTTATCTAGAATAGATATAATAGAAATTAATTGGTACAAACATGATAATGTTATAAGTTTGTATTTAATATTATAAAACAATGTAAATAATACATTGTTTTGTATTCTACACACACACACGCAACGAATATACAATACTATTAAATATTAAGCTTATCCAGTTCAATTACAATGTGCGCGTGCGCGCGCTTGTCGCCGCGATGCTTCGCATAGTCCTGTAACGAGCCGGACCGTCAGTCCTGTCGACGATCCTTTCAAGGATGCTCGTCTATTCAATCTTCCGCGTCGGTCTGTGGCTTCAGGATTAATTAATGGATGTCGATGATTGCTAGCAAGTGAAAATTTTTGTGAAAAGTTTTGACAAAGGCAAGAATGTGGGGTTTGTCGAGAAGCACAATTAATAGATTTTTTTTTAGTTCACGCAATGTTTATTTTTTATTATAATACTACTTTTTACAATTTACATCAATTGTAAAATGAAGTGTTCTTTAATAATAATTCAAATTATGCAATTTTTATTAATTATAGATTATAGATTTTTTTTATCAATATGTAAAACTTATCAATAAAAGATATTTAATATAAATATTTTATTTGCATTGAGAAGATAAATAAATCTAAAAGAAAAATTAAGAAATCTAAAAAAATTAATTTTTTAAGGAAATGCAAAAATATATTGGAAATTTAAATTCAAATAAAATTCTTAAATTCCTTGTTGAATCGCAAAAGAAAGATTCTTAACCGTAAATCGGATAATCATTTTTGTCATCGGGTGAGTTATTTTTGCGATCTCATTAAATTATCATCTTTGAATTTTTTTGGATCTCTCTGGATGTTCGACGAATCGCGATCTCGTAGAGCGTCTCGAAAGATGAAAGAGGAACAATGTCGGGTCTCAAAACGCCTGCGGGCTACTCTCGTACTGGCAACGGAGCCAAACCAAAGAGTAGGATTTGCCGATTGACATCTTCGCGATCGTTGATACCATCCCTGGCTGGAAACATCTCGGAAAGATCTCTGGAAGTGATCGATTCCTCGTCATCAAGTCCCAGCAAATCATCCACATCTCCGCGAAGAGTTTCCAACGATCGCAAGTCGCCTAGGAGACATTCTGAAGAACGTCAACAGACATATCACAGTCCGAAGCGTTCACCGAGGAGGTTCTTGCCATCTTTTGATGACGATTCGTATCAAGACCAGATGGGGCTGGGACTCAGGGTGTCGTCGACTACGTCGACTTGCGTCGACGAAGGACCTGGTATGTCTTTCCTGGAGTTCGAGACTTTGTACACCCTGGAAAAAGAGATGCTGATGCAATCGCGATGTGGTCAAGATACGTCGCTTCAGCTGGGCGACAAGTGCACTACGGCAGGGTGGTTTGGGGACAAAAGGGGTGTCTATACAGAGTTACCAGATCCTTTACTATGTCATCGTATGTGTATGTGTGGTGCAGTCCCACCTGTCTCGCAGGCGCCATCGGAGGGATTCAGCTTCGCACCCGGATGGTCCTTAAATACGGATCATTTCTATCAGTGGCAACATCGTGGAAAAACCACGCAGCAGGTAGTTTCGTGATCAAGTTTTGTTGAACAAAAAATGTTTTAATTAAACATTACTTAATTTCAAGAGGATTAGAATCAATAATCAGTTACTCATCAGATAATCATAATCAATTGCGATTGTGATTTCTAAACTAAATGTTTCGCTCAAGAATTAATTGGTCTTAAGGAGATTAACAGAGAAGAGTGAATAATAACGGACTTTTAAACTTAATCTACTTAAATGTTTTGCAATTATGTTAAATTGTAATTTATTCATAATTATTAAATTGTAGGATATTAAGAGGAGAATTATATTATAATTATAACCAAATGAAAGTACGTACCACTTATTCATCTTTGCAAATCGATAAACAATTACTTGGAACTTAGGGGAGGGTTGTTATAATATTGATTTATTACTTAATTATAATTATTGAATCGTGAAATCCTGAATATTAAAATATTGAATCATGTAGAAATGATATTTTATATGCGAATCAAATAGACACGATAAATTATACATTATAGTTATATGCGAGAGAAAGAGAGGAGAGAGCGAATTGCAATTAAATTATTTAATTATAATTGTTAAGTTATAAAATACAAACTGACGAAATATCACAAAAATTCCAGTTTTAATGAAATTAAGTATATAAACATTTATTTTGTTTTTTTATGAAAGGACGATAGCGTCATTTGTGTGTATCAGAGATGACTGAATTATTCTTTACCTGGAAATTTTCGGGAAATTCGAGATACGGAATTTCGAATGTAACTGGGCCTTGAAATGAAACTGTCAGCGGCACGCTCTCTCGCACGTTCGCTCGCATTCTCGAATTAATCGAAAAACGGAAGTAATTTCGCGAGCGGCGAATCGTCGCATTTAACGCGGACATTCGAGCTTCTCCGTTCCGATAACGTTTCTCTTCTCGTTCTCTTTTCTCCTCTACCCTTATGATATCCCATGCACCCCCGGCCAGTATTTTCATCGCTCGAGGCAAGTTGATTTTCCTACACCCCCTCGTCGAGCTAATTTCGGAAACCGAGTTGCAAATTTGCGGCGCTACGCATATCGAGTTTTGCTTCATTTTCGCCGCTGGCGACTCGCGGATTTCGTGCAGTCGCTATTGCAAGCGAAAATAATCGTGAAATGATCGTCATAGCGTAGTTATATGATTCCCATAGGAGCAATGCGTAAATAGTGAAGTAGGTAAACACAAAGTAGCTTTTGCATTTGGAAGTGCAATAGGTAGTGGGTGTCACTCATGAAGAATTCTTTAGAATATGCTATTTATTCCATTAATGTAATTTTTTTTTATATATTCTACATTCTGGATTTCTTATATAAAAATCTTTAACACATAATTTTATTAGAAATAAATATTATATTTGAAATAAATTAATTCGAAGAAATTGCTCATAATCGCGGAAACATTAGAAATAAACTTAAAAAATAAAACAAATACGCTAAATATATAATATATCTTAATTTACATAAATAATATTATTACTGAAAAGTAGCGAAAGAATATTATTAAAATAGATCGTTAAATAAAATAGATAATTTTTATGTAAATCATCTTTGTGTACCATTTGTACCATCATTGCACTTAAGAATTTTGTGGATGGTCTTTAAAGATGAACTACCTTTTGCCAAGGTAAAAGAAAGTCAGGTCAACTGATGAAAAATTGAGCAGTCCGTGTAATTCCACTTGCTCTTTTTCGCCCACATAGTTCTGCGGCGCAGCATTCCGCTTGTAAAAAATTCTCGAGACTCCTCTTTCGAATAGCGAGAGGGTCGAACCTCGCGAGGACTATCAAATATGCTGCCTGAGGGTGTGAAGGCACTTTGATCAACCCCCAAGAAGTCCGCTGCCGCCCTTCTGCGATGTTTACTTTAAGGGATGCTATCGGCTACCAGCATCCATCACGCAAGGTGCACTGTCGTCTTTTTGTTCCTTATACGTATATATCGCCAAAGGAGTAGCTTTTGGCGAAACGAGGACAAGGATATTCATTAGATCTTAGATCGTGATCAAAGCGAGTTGGCTTTGCCCATCAAGGTTGCATTGAAAATAACATTAATTTTTAATTAGATATCTTTACTTTTAAGACTTTGTTTTTTCTTTTAAAGCATTCTATAAAATGGCAAAAAAGAATGTAGTTAAAAGAGTATATTTATGATAAAATCTTATAATTTTTATAAATACAAGAAATAGAGAAAAATTATTATTTCTCATTTCTGATCTCAGGATATTCAGGAATTCTCTCTCTCTCTCTCTCTCTCTCTCTCTCTCTCTCTCTCTCTCTCTATATATATATATATATATATATATATATATATATATATATATATTCTTAAATCTTATGCAAGGACTAGAATCTGGTTTCTGTAATTGCAAAATATCAGTAAATATCTACGAAAGATTAAATGACATTTTTATTGTTATTTACTATCATGACAATCCAAGATTAATGTCGTGGCGATCGATTTCGGTGAATACAACTCTTATTTCTTCTTTCTATTTATTCTTTTTTGATATTTGCCTTAGGGAACAGCACCAACATCTTCTCGTAGGGAGAAGGGTGACTGTTTCCCTTTCTCGTCACTAAGGACCAGGTTGGTCCATGCTTCTATTCCTTTTGACAAAGCAAACATATCCGCGTCATTATTGCGTCTCGTGTGGCTCGATTATTCGCGCAGAAACAAGCGATCTAATTTCGCGTCTTATTGGATATCATGTCTTTTTCTCTTTTCTTTTCTTTCTCCTTGCATTTACACTATTTGCCGAGAATGCATGCAGTATTGAATTGCATCGGATACCTGTCGAAGCAATGATTTTGTCTTTTAAGATTTAGATTTCGTAAGTTTGTTTGTTATAAGATAAACACGTTAAAAAATATTATGAATATTGTTATATATGATTTAAAGAAGCTTAGAAAATGTCCAATATTTTACTTGAAGAATGTTTATAACATGTAACTTCTTTAAATTTTATTACAGCAATGAATTAATTAATGAGAGTTACGGCTTTATGTATTAGGTAATATTTTTATACTTTATTTTCTGTGAGCGGAAATAGAGTTGTTGATGTTTCGCAGAAAGAATATTTTTCACTGACGAGAATTACTGCTGACACCATCTCGTTCATCATGGATCAATGAACTTTGACATATGTCGCGATACGAATATTTACGAATCAACGATCCGCGCAAATTGCAGGGGATGCTGCTATTAGCCAGTTTATATTGCCGTAAACAGTGACATTCGTAAAATAAAGTACGAAAACGCTAAACAAATCAAAACATATTTTTATATGTTGAACAAATTTTTTTGGAAATGCTGTTGCATTTAATTTGATTCTATGTTTACTTTATTTTAATAATTTGATTTGGTTGTCATTTGATTTTACTGTGTTTGGTATTTAATATGCTTTTGTCTCTGCTGTTATTATATATCGCTTTATTGAAGCACACGGTATCGATTGAGAACGGAAAACTTGGAATAACGTGAAGGGCACGCGAAAAAGGGCGCACGCCTTGACGAAAGCAATTTTCGTGGGGCTGCAAATTGGCAATCGGACGCTAAATGATTTAGGTAGTACTCACGCATGTCTATACTTGATATACGTATATGCACGTGTGTTTGTTCTATGTTCTCGATGACTCGATATAGGGATGAACCTACCCCAAGGCAAAGCGCATATCTCCGCCTATCGAGTCGCATCTTAGCGGGAAAATAGATCTTTAATTGAATCGCGAGGTGAGTCACAGGCTCGTACACATGCGCTGAAATGAATAGCAGGATGTAGGATATTTCTCAAGTAGCTGTTACTTGTCAAATTTTGAAATCGTTATCTCTTACATGTGTATAGTTTATTCGATGATCCCATATCAGGATAAATATTTCTCTCTCTATTCGTGCCGCGCCCTGAACACATAAATACTCATAATCCGGCCGCACAGCAGGATGCAGCAGGATGTTGAAAAAATAATCGAGATAGACGTGCCCGGGGTGGTGGTGTTAAATAAATACGTCGACAACGCCGTATCCGGCTTATGACGAAAAACAAATTTCGCATCCCTATCGAGTTTCGCTTTGCACGGATTTTTCGACGCTATTTTGCAGTTTGCTGCTCGGCTTGGCCGTTACCATCAGGATCGTTCCCAACGCTGTTACCTACGGCAAAAAGAATGATCAAATTTCTCTGGCGCCGTTGGCGTGTAAATTTTTTAAATGCAAATAAAAATTCCACTAAGAATTCAATGAACTTAATTCAATTTAATTGTATTAAAAATTTAGAAATTATTTTGATATAAATACAAGATGAGTCTACGAAAATTTAATTTGCTTCTTTTGTTTCACGAAATAAATTATTTAATCTCCGTGTAATGATTAATAAATAATTAAAATGTGTATAAGTAATATTTCATACTTTTAATGAGTGTAAAAAGCTCTTTTAAGTTATTTATTATTATATATAATACATGATATGAGCTCATACGGAAATTAACTTTCTTATTTTTTAAGGTTACAAAACCAATATATTTTATTTTATTCTTTATTATTTTATTGTTTATCTTTGACACACGTTCGGTCGCATCCTACTCGAAAGAAATTTCGGTCAGCCGTCCGAAGAAGGACGCCCTATGCGCAAAATCAATATTCCCCGCGTATGCTCTCAGAGACCTTCCGGACTCTGTGCCACACCGCGTCCACATCAAATGCCATGCGGAAATGCCACATCACACGAATATCGTACCTATCGATACGTTTCGCGCGCGAAAACAGACGTGTCGAACCACGTCACAGAAATGTGAACCAGTGTCACTGCCGGCGTTGAAACCACAATTATGAGCCTATGTCAGTGACAGACCTTACCTTCTCTTCGTTATAATCGAACCACTAATCTGTTCTTATTAGTTATACGCAGAAAAGAAAAAACTCTACGTTTATAATAAATAAAATCAAATAAAATATATTTTTTGTTTTTCTTTTAAAGTTTTAAATATATAAATTAT